GACACCACATAAATCCATATTTCAAACTTCGTAAAAAATTATAAAAAAAACATCCCGAAAAGTGAAATGCAAAGTATCTGAATACCCAACAGTCTCAAACGATCGCGAAATACTGCCGAGGGACCTTGTAAACTAAGAGGCAAAGTATCCCCAAAAGCGTCGAAAGTTTCCGAAATATAAATCACTAAGAAAAAACCCTGCACAAATACCGCAAGATTGCGAAATATAAAAGTTCCAAAAATGTCGGAGGAATCTCAAAAACAAAGAAAAGCGAAACACCCTGAAAGGTCTCAACAAATAATGCCGGTACAAAAAACTAACATTTACTTTTACTTAAAGCGCCAAACAAGGAGAAAAATGAGTAAACACTTGAAATACTTTAAATGACATCAATCTGCCAATTAAGAGCTTAATCTCTTCATCGAATGTTTTCTGTTTTTTGCAACTACTTATGTTTTAAGAGCGCAGCCATATCATTTTTGTGATTAATCAATTTGTTTATGAATTTAGGTCAACTTAAAAGGTATGTAGGTAGAGGTTCGCATGCAAAAAGACAAACTTTATACAAAATACATGCATATGTGCGTATCGAAAGGGAAAAACAATAACAAAAACATGACGTTGATAACCACCTGAAATTCGCGTCAATTGCAAAATTTCACACCCAATGAATTGCCTGCAAAGCTTCGGACAGAAAACACAACACCAAAAGAGCTTATGTTCAAATTAGTCTAAATGGCGCACCTACCGGCGATAATGAATTAAAAATATACAAAAATGCCAGACTGACAAAAAGTTTTGTTTTTTTTTTGTTTTTTTTTCACAGATGAACGAAACCAAAGGAATTTTTTAGGCTCCGCAAAGAGGAAGTGGTTAGCTAATGAGGAGGGGTCGCAGGTCTTCGAAACTTATGTACATATAGGAAGCGTGGAGGGAGGCAGTAATAGGGAAGAAGTGTGAGTAAAAAAATAATTATTTACATACTCGTACGTAGCAAGCACAGCAGCCGCTAGCTCAGCAACGCGCTATTCGCATGTACTGTGTGGTCTACTTGCTTTGTTGATGCTGCGCGGCAGCTGAGTAACACTGCTGGGTGCGTTTAGTTGAGGGCGTAAAAGCGAAATTTGTTCAGTCGTTGCTGTTTTGTGATGCCAATGGGCGTGCAAGTATTACATATGAGTACAGACAGATTGTGTTTCGTTTTGTTTGTTTGTTTGTAGCAACTGCGCATGCGCGACAACGCATTTTTAAGACGTTGTTTCCATTTCAACTGAGCAAAATTTATTTTTTTTTGTTAGTTTACTCGCTAACGAGCAGTGTGTGCATTGCTGTTGGCCAACATGGGAAAGGCACGTAGTGCTTGCTTCAATCATAATTGCCTCAAAACTGTTGCCGCTTGACTTGGCCGCTGTTGCTGCCAGTGCCAAAATTATGACAACTGCGGCTGCGCGCCATTGCTACACGATGGCTTTTTGGGCCATTTCTTTAGGTTTCGCTTTTCATTTTTTGGTATTTTCTCCAATGTAGTTGTGTGCGTGTGTGTGTGTGTGTCGTTTTTTAATGTCCCTCTGGTTTATTTATTTTTCGCGTTATTTTCAGATTTTTTTTTTCTTTTTTTCTGATGATTTCAGTTTTGTTTTCGCGTCCGTTTATGAGTTGTGCGTGTGCGCGCGCATTCCGCACACCTTGCCGCTTGGCTGTGCTCTTTCCACCAGTGCGCCTCTTTATCACTTCACGCGCTTCACTTTTCTCGCTGCTGCAGCGGCTGCTGCTGTTGTCCCCTTTGCTGGCGGTTTTGTTTAATTTTTTTTTTTTTTTTGGTAAAATTGTTTTGTAATGAATTTTGCGGCGCTCCAGCGCCGGTGCCAGTAGCAGCAGCAGCAGCAGCTTACAAACTCTGACTATATTTTTTAGGAACCAGTATAAAAGGGTGTCTACCTCGAGACAAGTACATCAAATTCATCTTAACGCTCTCAAGTACTGCACGTTCGCGAACTAAACGAAAGTGTCGCGTTAAAAGTACCTTACGGCTCAAACAATTTGGATATTCGGTTAAATTCATTTGTTGTGCGTGTTATCTAACTTAATCTTTGTGAAAATGAAAGTGTTCGTCGCATTCGCAATCGCATCCCTGCTCATTGTCAGCTGCGCTTGGGCCGCACCAAGCGTGCAAGACAATCGCATCGAGGGTGAGAATGGTGGTACGCTGGCGCTTGCCGCCCGCTATCTAGGCAACTGCTTCGAAACTGAGGATATAACCACCTGTTTAGCAGTTAAAGGTATTACCGCATTGAATCGTGCCGCCAGGAGCAACAACATCGAAATCGTCAGCGGCATATCATTCAAGAGGTGTGTGTGTGCAATTGTGAAACAAAATTTAAATGAAAATGAACTGAATTTTGAGACAGAAAAGACATTCGAATTACTTTGTGTGAAGCAATGCTAGTACATACATAAGTACATACATAAGTAGCATTACGTAACTCAAAAGGGTGTGATAATAATTAAGTGAAATACCAATACGCCTGCGTCTAATTTTGGGGGGGAAAAAAATGCAACCAAATTAAAAACAAAAATCGTATTATTTGCATTGCAGAATTCGACATCTATGACTGCACAAAAAATGAGGCGAAGTGTTTCAAAAAAAAAACCGAGAAAGTCAGCTTCAAAAAGTTGGTGACATAATTTCCCTGTGAATAAACAAAGACTGCTTTAAGCATATCGTGTTTTCGGAGAGATATGTTATTTCGAGCTAAGTACTAGTGCTTTTACCGCAAATATATGTAGTTAGGGGTTCCACAAGACATCCCAGTCGGAAAAGTAGTAGTGCATTACATGCGTTCTCGGTAATGTTACTGCTAACTGTGCAATCAGCATTCTAATGTATTCAAAAAGTTTCAAAAATTTCATATTA